CCTTGGAAGTGAGGTGGCTTTTCAAATGTGGGGAGGAGGATGACAGTAAGCATATGTTCTGCTTCCTGTTAGCTGCTGTCTGAGATTCTTCTCCTCCTGTGTATGATTGATTCTTGATTTGTTTCCACGCTTCTTTTGCTGTGCCCAGAAGCAGGAACAAAAGGGCAGAGGAGCAGCAGAAATGTGAAGACCCAGAACAGCATTCACCACCCACAGGCCTTACTTTTGGGCATTTTTTGTAATATTTTTATGTCAGAGAGGGCTACATGTGACGAGAGGATTTATGGCTCTAATTCCTTGTTCCTGCACAGTCACCACATCCTTTGGTCTCCTGCTTTTCTGAACATCCCAAGCTTATTTCAGCCATCAGCTGCAACCTCTCAGTTTCAGTGTCTGAAGTAGCTCTGCCCATGCTCCCTGATAACTCCCACAGGATTTATTTGTTAAATGATGTATTTCTGGACCAGACAATGCATTGCTTTCAGAATTTTGGTGCAACACAACCTCCTGGATTAATTTATTTTTGTGGGTACAGCTGGCCCACACAGGAGGTAGGGGCTCCTAAAAGAGGTTAGGGTTAGCTAAACCACAGGCAGTGGTTTAGTTAATTCCTGGGCAATCAGAGAGCTGATTAACGAACAGGGGCTCTTGTGGGGCAAACAAGGTGCAGTGCAGCCCACAGGAGGGCTGCTGGTCCACTACAGCCTGTGACAAAATGGTACCAACCACAATGGAGTCTTGGAAGTTTGTAAAGCCATGAGAGTCATGGATTCTTCATGGCCAGACCAGGACTTAGGGCTCCTGCTTTAAATAATTCCTCTGGGAGACACAAGGGGAGAGAAAGTAGAGATGATAAAACCTTGTTTTGTAATCCCCTCTCTACAGCTCTCAGTCAGTCTTTGTCTCAGAGGCAGGGGTAATCTCATCAGGATGTAAAAGCTCTTAGGCAGGACAGCAGACACTCTGAAATGTGGCTCTGAGCTCTAGAGCTCTGCAGTTGGGGTTGTAGTCAGCCTTTTATCTCTGTGCTGGGCCATTTAACACATTGACACTCTGCCAGCTCCTCCATCATGTGCTTTGGCCAGAATATTTTTCCTGGTGGATACCAAGGCTGTGCCTACCCCGATATTCAGCGGTTCTATGTGTTACATCGCCCTCATCTTCAGTTTTGCCCCATCCTAGGCAGTGCTGGACCAATGCTGATGCTGTTTCACTTGTCTTGTGGGTGTCTCTCTCCTTCAGAGCCCCTCCTGCAGCTTCTGTCTGAATCAGTGGCCTTGGTGTCACTTCTGGGAGCAGCTCAGAACCCGAGTGCTCTTTGATAGAAATGTCACCTACTTTCATCATCTTCTTGGAACACCATCCAGTTTTCCTCCTTGCCTAATGCTTTAACATTTTTGGACTGCTTTTCCTGCTCATCATGTCCTCCTCAGTGGTGTCTGTGCACCAGAGCTCCAGGGCTGCCATATATAGAAATATTGGTGAGCTGGAGCAAGGCTGAACATGGGAGAAGTCAGATTTATTTATTTTCTCTGACTGTAACTTTTGCCTTCTGGGCAAGCACTGGGGACCTGCCATGTAAGAAGTGACCAGCTGAGCTCAAAAGCCAAAGTTCTGCAGTTGGAGTTATAAACAGCCTCTTATCTCTGTGCTGGACACAGACAGTGACCAATTTAACACATCTACTCCCTATCTTAAAATAGTTTTAAGAATAGCAAGTGCATGAACAAAAAACTGTGCAGAAACACTTCAAACAAATTTTTGTTTTACAGCTTTTGCTAAACTCAGTCTTTCCCCCCACTCCCCACCCCTCACCACCCCCCAAAAAAAAAAAAGTTGTCTTGGCTTGTCTCTAGACTGCATGGTTAGTGCCAGATGGAGCTTAATAGCAGGTACATATTATCCTGCTGTTTAAGAATTTAAATCTTCTTTTAAAACAACAAAAAAATTCTCTTCTTCCTTTTCTCACTTTTTAGAAGGGTCATGTCTATGAATAGGCAAAAGCTTGAATTGTGCTGTGTTCTGCTAATCCGTGGTGTTTAAAAATGGCCTTGCCCTTTTCTGAGATGCTGCATTTTTTAGCTTGAGTTTAATTTTTCTTTGAAATAACACAAGTGAAAGTCACAAGTATCCCTGGGAATTTCAGCTACTTTCTTGCTATTGTGGTTAAGTCAGCAGAGTTGTTAGTGTGAGGATGACCAAAAATCATCAAAAAATCATCAAAAAAAGGACAAACACCTCAATCACCCTGCTCAGCAGGAATACAACTGCAAAGTACACCAGAAATTAATTTGAGAGAAAAATATGAATAATAACTATCCTGCCATAAATTCTTTACTTCTAAGCATCTTTTTCATAGGTAACTGTATGTTAGTTCAGCATTTACAGTGTGTGTGTTTGTTGAGGGGACTGTGACAAGGAGGGATGGGAAAGATTTCAGAATTCAAAGGAAAAATGTCCCAGCTTCCCATCCCTGAGGAAGTTAGAAGTTATTCCAGGACTGAGGAAGTCTTTGCATCATATTTTAGTAATTAAAACTTCAGGAAAGCTTGTCTCTGCTACCTGCAGGACCACCTTGTGGAAAACCAGAGCATGGTTTTCCTATTTATCTATTAATTTATATTTTCTAATCTATAATATTAATTTATATATCTAATATTTTTCTACTATTTCTCACTTTTTTTCTAAAGTGAGGAACTGCCCTTAGGTACGACAGGAGTACCCAAAACCTCAACACCTTCCAGGTAAATTGTGTTTTGTGCTCAGGTTCCCCCTGCTGCCTCTCCAAAGCAGAATCATTTTGTTAATGACAGCTGACTCAACCATGGGCTTCACCTCCATGCCTTTGCCTGTAAAGCTTTCTTTGCAGAGACACCAGACCAGTTTATTTCCCAGATCAGTGATCAATGGCACGATACAAAGACTCAGTGTTGCTGTGAGCTGCAGAGGAAGGCTGGAAGTAATTTGGGTCAACTAAAGTTAGAAACCATCCTCACCTCACGAGACAGATGTGAGCTTTGATGTCGGGAAGATGATCAGAAAGACAATCTAGGAAAGACAGTCTTCCCTGGTTCAGTTTCTGATTTCTGGACTTGAAGCCTGTGCAGGACTGGATGCCTGGATCTTGGGTGAGGACACTCTGCCCAGTCCTGTGACCTGCCCTCAACAGAGGCTGAAAAATGGCTGAAAACAGGGGATGAAAAATGAGAAAATGTAAAGCACTTGAGTGAATAATGCTGCAGCATATTTCTGGGAAAGAGTCCTTTCTTACCAAAGGGGTTTGTGGACAATGCAGGCAGAAGAGCAAAGGAAACTCAGATCCTTGTATTTGCCTGCTGTATCTGATGTGAACTGTACAGCTCTAGCATCTTCTATTTGATAATATCAGAATTTTGTCTTGTGCTTTCTGGGGCTGGTGGGGGGATGTAGGCCCAGTAGGACAGTCTTGCACAGCAAAAGGAATCCTGTTCACTACATGGTCTTCTATAGGAAGGCCTTTACCTCTGCCTTGCACCAGAGATGGACAATGACTTATTTGGGGGTGAGGACAGATCTGTCTCCTGGGTTCTCTCCCCTTGCCTCCCTTAGCTCTGCTGACATGGATTCTGTGGTTAGAGTGCAAGTGGAAGGCTGATGAAATCCAAGTCCCCCAGAAACAGGAAAAAGCAGCTTTGGTGAAGCCCCAGTTTTGTACCTATGTACGCTCACTCCCTCCTTCTCACTTTTATCCTGCCTGGAGAAGAAGCCAGCTCAGTCCCTTTGTGCTGTTTTGATGAGTAACCCTATTATTAGGGAAATCCCTGACATTTATTTCTGGCTTTCCAGACTTCTCCTTACTACAGACTCCTAAGGGATGAAGGGCTGCCTCACAGGCTGCACTCCATGCCAGCTGTGTTGCAGGTTCTGTCCTAAAGATGCTCTTTTACCTTTCTTAGGGCAAATTTCACTTACAAATTCCAGCCTAAGGGGTTGCTGAAACAGGATCCTCCCTCTGCAAGTATTTTATGGTCCAGCTGGTGGACTGGAGCCAAGCACAGGCTGAAACAGAAACCACTGGGCCATGAACCCATTCTGTTACAAATGAACAAATGCCTTGATCTTGCTCCTGGTGTACCCACCCAATTAAGGCTAGTCAGGAAGTTAAACTCCCTCAGAAATATTCTAATGAAAGCTCTTCAAGTGGTTTATACATGAGAATACAACTCATGTAGAGAGGGTTTACTGCTCCAGGCCATCTCTCTGAGTCCTTTCCATGTCTGTGTGATGCCATCAACCTGGTGAGTTATCTTGGCCTTCAGAGGTGACTTTACCTCCTTTCCTGCCACACCGTGCAGGCAGAAGGAAAATATTGATGCAGGTCATTGATTGAGAGGTCCATCACTCCCATCCACAGCAGGAACTGCCCACAGTGATGTCCACTGGGAGTGGCAGGAAAAGTATCACCTTCCATGGGAGCTGAGAACAGGGACTTTTGGGATTTTAGGAGTTGAAATACCAAAAAATCACAAATGTGGATGTTGATGAGGTGAAAGAAAGAACAGCTGTTAGTGTCTCTTAGCCCCCTTTCTACTTGCTGACATCCTGCAACCTGAGGTTTTCAAATAAATATTTCAAAATAAAAATCTCTGGCACCAGAGACCAAGCCAACAACTTCAAGTTATTTTCTTGTTTCAATTTTTTTTTTTTTTTTAATCCTTGGAAGCCACTAATCTGGTTGGCTTTGAACGTTCTCTGAAAGTGCTGCTTGAAGCAGCAATGTGAACCCCTCAGCACAAACATTTAGTGTTAAACTGAAAACCAGAAAGAGTTGGGCAAGCTTAGTACCAAACTGTTGTAAATCAGGCTCATAATCTGAGTAGATCTGGCACATAATTAATCTTTGGGGAGTCTCTAGGTAGCAACTTGCAGGTCGTTAGCCAGTAAACTCCCACAGGTCTCCCTGGGTTTGGGATTAAGCTCTGTGTGTGAATAATCATCTAATTAACCACCTCATGCAGGGGTTTCAGAGACCTTCAGTGGCTGCTCTTGGAAGAGGTGTAGGTTTTAGCACAGTTGTGTCGCAGCATGTTAGCAGGAGCCAGGAGAAATTCAGAGGGGAGGTAGTTTTCATCTGAGGTGGTGCAGGAGGGTTTGAAGTTCTCATTTATTGCAGAAGCAAACACTTCTCAACCATGAAATGAACCCAGGCATGTTTTGCCTTGAGATGATTCCTGAAAATTGTAATACATTAGAGACTTTTTTGAGGTGAACTTATATTAAACTTTATGACAAAGGCTGTCTCAGGCTGCCTGCTGTCTCACAGAGATCTATAACAATTCCTGATTCAAATTATCTGTATTTGAGAACCCTTTTTTCCAGAATCAATGCTGCCTTGTCAGGACCAGGTTCTGTGAGCTGAATGTGTGCTTCAGCCCCAGTTTTGAGTTTCCTTATCTCCTTGACAAGGAGAAGCAGCCTGTAGGAGGAGGGTGCCACGGTGGGTTTTCTGTGGAATCTGGGAATTCTGTGGAATCTGGGCTGTGAATTGCCACCCAAGCTCTTCAACTTGAACAACAGCTCATCTTCTCAAGGGCTGCTTTACCCTCACCCACGTAAGAGCTCTCCTGCTCACCACAGCTTGGTGAGGACCTGGGCTCTGCAATGGAATCTGTCATATGAAAAATGTCAGTTTCTCCACCTTTGCAGTGGGAAAGTCTCCATTAGCAATGTTCACCTGGAGCACAGTTCACCTCTGGGTGTGCTGCATTCTGCACTCAGGGAAACCTGTGTTCTCCTGGTAAACATCTAAGAGAGAGCTGGAGTTAAAGCTGTGGGAACCTTTCTGCTTTCAATTTTTGACTGCTGTCACAAGAAACAGGAAAAAGGTTGGGATGTAATTCCTTAAATACAAGTTTTCCAGGTAAAGGTTCTAAAACACAGTTATGAAAGTTTGGAATTCTGAGACCTTTTCATACTTCAGCAAAGGGTCTTCTAAAATGTTTCCTGGAAGGACTCAGGCACAGTTTCTGTTCTTTCACCCTGCTGCAGCTTGCCATAGCATTTTTAATGCCCTTTTCCTATGATTTAAGTAAGAAGAAAATTAACATTGATATGCACAATAGGAGCAAATGTCTGTTTTAAAGGTACCATTCTCCACAGCAAGGCCATGGATTTAATAGGCTTTTACTGTATTATTGACAGCACAATGCTGTGGCATTGAACCACAACTATAGGGAACAATCCAATTATCGTTCAATTGAGCCAAAGCAATTAGTCAGCTTAGGCCAGGGGATAATGCAATCGGCTGAAAATGTTCAACAATCAGATTTGCAGAAAGCTGGAACTCACATTTTCTCTCTTTCTTTCTCAGCTGACTCAAGGATCTCCTCCTAACTAATGAACATGGGCAACAAATCAAAATATGGTGGAAACTTCAAAAGGTTTGTGGCCAAGGTAATGGAGGCTTTTAAACAGGCAGGGTTTTTTTGGAGATGCACAAACCCATGGTCCTCTCTGTACTTCATCCTCCTATAGCACTGCAAAAAATAAAATCAAAATAGTCTTCAGACTTTGACACTTATTTTCCCTATTTAAATCTTAAAAAAAAATGGAGAAGCAATTATGAAAGGTTATTATAAAAGATATAAGGATATGAGGACCAAAACTGTTGTTTAAGTAGATGTGTAAATTTGGGATACTTGGGACTGGTTGAACAAAAAATTGTTTAATCAAAGCTTTTCCTATAAAATGTATATATTTATGGTAAGGTCACCAATATTTTCTGGAAAGGTTTTTCTCAAAATTATTATTTTTTTTTTGGATGTGGCACTGGTTTTGGTAAATATGTGGCCTGTGCTAAGGAAGAGATTAAAAGATTCAAGCTGCAGCATTATGTGAGTACCCTCTGTTCCTCCCTGTAACTTAAAGGATCTTTTGAAGGTGGAATTAACATAACCAAATCATTAAAGACTCAAATACTTTCATCTCATGCTGAATGAGTAATTGGTACATTATGGGCCTGACTGCTGTTCCACAAGTATTATATTCCCTTTGACTTCTTTTGGGATTGTTAATACCCTGACTAATGGTATAAGGGATCCAAATGATCTTGTTTCTGGTTGAAAGAATTGGAAGGGTGTGCTTCATAGCTGTACAGTGTTTCTTTTGCCAACAAAACCTGAATTCAGATCAACTCTTCCTATCTGAGGGTAATCTGCTTAAATATGCTTGTTGTTCATCTGCTTTATTATCCTGCAATATGAAAAGTTCTCCTGTGTTTTGTTATGCAGAAGAGCTGACAAAACACATTTTGAATGCTTTGACTCTGGAGATCCTGGTCTAACACAAGTGGTCTTCAGGCATGAAAATCTCTGGGGCTTGATTCCATTACACTGAGAAAAGTTGGAAGAGAGCTTGATTTATCCAAAGGCCAAGGGTAATCTGGGTTTGAGCAGAACAGGCACAGAAGAGTTTGTAGCGTTATAGACATGATTCCTTCTGCACTCAGCCAAAGGAAAGACTGCCGTAAAACCAATGTGTTTTGAACTCAGACCACCACTTAATAGGGAGATTATGTTGTAGTAACCCAAAACTGCCATGGCTTCTGTGCTGGGGTTAGAAACAAAGGGCTGGATTTCTCTGAAACAAGTAAAAATGTAGAAATAATGCACTCATTGGGGTCTCTTGAAGGTTGATGTGAATCTAGGTCGTAGCAGCTCTTTTGGAATTCAGTCTTTTGCCTGCATTTTTGAGTGAGGTGTTGTCTGGAGCACAAAGTGGGCAGAGATGGACAGGAAGCCTTCCTTGGAGCTGCCTTTTGTGCAACTCTTTAAAGTTAGCTCAGAAATCTCTCAAAGTCAGAGCTTGTCTGAATAAAGGGGAGTAGTTAGGGGTTTTCCTGTCTAATGAACAGACTGAAGGCACTGATGTGGAATGGAAGAGTTCAGGCTAAATTCCAGTCTAACATAGCGCTCGATGTGAAAATACTCCTGCATTAATAACAAAACAATGGGATTTACAGACTCTCATTTGCCTCAAGTGTTGATTAAAAAAGCCTAATAAGCCCTTATCTTGTGCCTTCACATCTCAATGGATTTATAAGGTGGGGGAGTGGAAAAGAGACCTCGAGGTATCTTCCCCTTAACACCAGATTGCAACATCAGCTGGTTTGGATTATAGCATCTCTGCAGATGGATCTGGCTCTTGTGTGCTGTTGAAGGGGAGAAAACATCATTATCCTTGGAAATTCTGAGTGAATACAAAATCTTTAAGTGTGAAAAAGGATTTTTCTTGCTTCTTAGTTTATCTTGAGGCTGTTTCTGAGTTCTGCCCATTTGCCTTCATGCATTCCAAAGAATTTGTCTCCAGAGTTGAAAGCAACTGTTGTAATGCTAAGTTAGAAATATTTGGGGAAGACATTAAAATAGAATTTTAAAGGGTTTATGACATGCTGTGCCATTATCTACCGCTGTATAAAAGTTGAATAAAAAATCAACCAAATGAGCTGCACTATTCATGTAAAGCTTTCTAACCTATGAATAATGTGATCACCCCAGATACAGCATTGTAAAGGTTTTATCAGCATCATTGGAGTATTTTTATCTGTATTTGCATGTCTTAACAGGAAGTAAAGGTACTAAGGTTGTGGAATCAAACTTTCAGTGCTAAAGAACTTGGCTCTGGGTTCTGCCCTTTTTTTTTCCCTTCTCTCTTTTTTTTTTTTTTTTTCCTGAATTTGATTGCCTGTGGTATGAAATGCTGAGTTTTCCTTTACCTAGAAAGCAAAAAGATCTGACATTACACTGAGTCCATATCTGTCTTCCTACATTGCATGGAGTTACCAAACACATGTGGTACCATAGAAGGATCTGCTCAAGGCAGTGCCCACCTGCCCAGACACCCCTCTCCTTCCCATTAGGCTGTGTGCTTCTTAAAGCCATCCTGCTCCTCATAATGAGAGAAAAAGGAGGATTTTATGGCTTGGCTGGAGGGTGCCTTGATAGCACAAAGTCTCCATCTGCCTGGTGAGCTCCTGTCTGATGCTGTGCAAACCCAGCTCTTGCCAAGTAGCCACCAGCTGTCCTCAGCTTTCAGGACCACTGAGAGAGCTGCAGTGTGGGAGGGTGTTTGACAGCTTTATCTTGTTAAGGAGAGAGAACTCTACTACTTTCCCTGCTTACCCTGCTTATGCTGTTCTGAAGCTCCTGTTGCTGCTCAGCTCTTGAGTTACAGTAAGAGGCAGTGGGGAGAGCCTGGAGAGGGACTTTTGACACAGGCATGTGGTGAGAGGCAAGGTTGTGGCATGAGTGGGTAGATTAATAGGAGATCTTAAGTAGAAATTCTTGACTGTGAGGGTGGTGAGGCACAGGTTGACCAGAGAAGCTGTGGATGCCCCATCCATGGAAATGTTCAAGTCCTGTCTAAATGTGGCTTGGGCAACCTGGTCTGGTCGAAGGACACTTTGCCCATGGCAGGGGGCTTGGAAATAAATGGTGTTTAATGTCCATTCTAACCCAAACAGTCTTATCATTCTATAACAGGATTGAACATAGAGGGGTAGGAGAAAGAACAGACTTTATTTCCAGAAAAGATGGTAAAAATGCTATATTGAATTAAAATTGTATTTTGTTACATTTTCCCAGTAGATACAAGTCTCTGTTCGGGTAGAATTTGCACAGTTCCTTTCCTGTGGTCTTCTGAAGCATATCTGGAGTCAGACAACAGTTGCAATAGGGGTTTGGCAATAGTAAAGTTGTGAGGAGTGTGTGAAAACCTCTCCCTCTGCTGCTCTTTGATCTCCACCCTTTAGACAAGACTCTGTGTGATACAATGGGCTCACACTCAGTAGTGCTCATTTAACTAAGTGGAAAGGAGCAGGGCCATGGATCATATTGATGTGTAGCTGAGTTTTTTACTCAGCCTCTGGACAAAACCACTGCTGCTTATTCACCTTTGTGATTGATCACTGCTGTGTGATGCTCTTTCATGTTGTGAGTCACTCATGAGACAGGACAGCCCTTCTCTGGCTACCAAACACCTCCCAGAGGTTGCTAATTGAGTGACTCAGGGTGCCACTTTTAATGGCAGCACTCTCGTGGTCGTTTATCCAGGTTTCACTCTGGGTGGGGTTACTGGAGCATTTGGTTAAGGCAAGAGGCTCCCTAAAGGCATGACTCACCAAGATGGTCTGGTAACCCAACCAGGAACATTTCTAAATGAAAGGATTCCTCTTCTTAATCCTGAGGGCTGTATTGTTTTCTCTTGGGTTGCCTCCTGCTTTGTCACACCTGCCCAGGTGTGTTATGTGAGAACCCAAGGTGTGCTGGGGCTGTGCACATCTCCAGGGTGGGCAGAGCTCTGCAGACCTTGGAGCACTGGAGCCAGCCCAGCTCTGCTGTCCAGCATGAGATTGGTATGTCTCATGTCCTGGGGCCTTTTGTGCACATGAGCATGGAGGTATGAGAAGGTGGCTTTCAGAAAAGGGGCAGAAAACATCTTTTAGATGTAGCTAGGTTGTTTGATGTAGTCCAGCTGGGCACAGAAAGCTGTTTTCTTCTATGGCTATGATACTGCGCTGTGATCCTGTACTTGAGAGCTACTTTATGATGATTGCTGGGGGTGTCTCAGCCCTTGGAGCAGCCTAGTGTGCAGAGCCCAGAGGAGTTAGGAGACAGCTGTGTATCTGGTGCAGAGCTTGGGGCTAAGCAAGGGAACAACTGAGGCCTGGAGGCAGCAGAAGTCAGGGCATTTCACTGCTGCTGTTGATATAATCCTGCTGGTGCACCTGCAAGCTGACACTAAGCAGCATTTCTTACCCCATGTGGTAGAGAGAGGCCTTTGATGTCTCAGTGATCTCTCTTCAGGAGCAGGAAATGCTGTTTATTCCTCTCTTCCTCATCCCTGCCTCACATAAGTGTGATTCCTTAGAGATGCTCAAGTCCCAAACACTATGTGGGGAAAAGTTGAGAGCTGTATGGAAGTGGATTGTGAGGACACAGAAGAAAAGATCTTCTCTGCAGTGTCTGTGCTGTCACTGCATCTCCTGGGGATTCCCTTTCCCATCCACAGTTCACTAAATTTATGCCATCTGCTCAGGGATGTTCTTGGGAAGCGTTTAGTGCCCAAGGCTGTTCTGTGCTCCCCCAGCACAGTGGGAGTCAGTATCTTCAGTTGTATTGCTTGGGTGAGAAATTGCTGAAGGCAAGAATCTGCACCAATTACCAGCAATAAATGCTGAGGAGTGGAGGCTGGGGAAGATGTCAGATTGCTTAAGTCTCTTCCAGCACAGTTGTGTTGGACGTGCATTTTCTGAGAGCTGCAAAACCTCGGTCAGCACTTCTGAGGTGATTGACTGTTGTTTGCCACCCTGGCTTCAGCTTGACATCAGACAGTGAAATGGAGTTATTCCAGGCCTTTCTCCATGGCCTGGCATTTTGACTCCTAGACACCTTGAACTCTAGGGGACATCTGTGCTCAGAGACCAGGTCTGAGCAAAGAAACCACTCTGGGCCTGAAGATGAAGAGACCTCTTGCACAACTAGGAAGGATGAAAAGCTCAGATGAGTGCCAGTAATATTTTTAGTGGATTCTAGAGAGGGACTTTTGGACCTGAACTGTAAGAGGTAAACTTTTGAGATGAGAAGAAAACATTGCCTTCCTCTTCTTCCCAGGTAAGTTCAGTTTGTGGTCCTTTGTTGTGATGAGTCTGGCAAAACAGCAATCTGCTCATGTTTCTGCTGGTTCAGCCACCACAGGAACCCCCACACAGAAAAAGTTGTGAGAGCTTCTGGCAAGCCTGGTTTAAGTAGCCCAGGGACCCTTGGGCAGGCTTTGACTTTGCAGAGGAATTACCTGCACCATGGATGGGGAACACAGGTCTGTGTGTGTACCCTCAGCAGTTTGCAGATACTGCCTGCATCTTCCTCTCATGTTTTTTCATTACTGGCCAATAGCAATGGCTGATTTATTTAAAGTCTCCCTGATGCACGATTAAGAGTCAGCAAAGTCGAGGGGTCCTCAACAAAGTTAAGATCCTCTAGAACACGGTCAGTAGCTGTCTGGAGGCATAAACAAATGAGCTGAAAATCGAAATATAATTTAACCACAGCACAGATGCCTCTAGATCAGCCAGGAATTTTTCATTTTCCTCTATTATGTTTTGTTATGAGCTTTATTCATATTTGAGTCACATGCAGAAGAAGTTTCAGATCTTTCATGTCAGACTATAAAGAAATGTAGAAGCAATAACTTCTTCCAAATATTGTGTTCTAACCTTCAGATGGATTGCCTGCAATTATCCCACTGATGAGAAATAGTAATTCTCCTCAATGTATTTCCATGACACATCCTTTGAACTCACACTGATCTGTAATCATTTTAGCTCCTTGTAGAAAGTCTTTCACTTGCTGTCTTGTAAACAAATTGAAAACTTAATGGTAAACTGGGAGAAAATGGGGGATATTTTTTTCTTTTAAACCAATAATGCAGAGTCATTTTGGGTGGAGGAAGGGATAAGACATCCAACAGAAATGTCTCCCCACCTCAGTACTTGGCTCAGGACTGTGTCTTCATTTTTAATTAGCCATGATTGTTTCCAAGGCCAGGTTTGCCAGTCTTTTAAATTTCAGACTCGTGTGAGTGCCAGAATTTGTCTCTGTGTGTGTGTTTTCAAGCACACTGGCCCTGGACAGAACTCTTCTTCTTGTGGTTTCTGACAGCCAGGTTTGGTTGGAGCCAACTAAGCTCCAGCCCAGCTCCAGCTGCAGAAAAACACTGAATTTTTCTGAACACAGGGAATCCAAAGATGGAATTGGACCTTCATGTGGAAGTCCACCAGCACACACAGGAATGGAGAAGGCTTTCTTCTAGAGCAGTCCAGACACATTGCAAGTTTCAAAACAGTCCCATCTTCTGGAATTTCCATCCAATTTGGAGGCTGACACCTCTCCAGTGTGGTGGCAGTGCCAGTCACAGGCAGCTGTGTGCTTGCTTGGAAGTCCTCTCACATCAAGCACAACAACCAGAGTGTGTTTTGGCTGGAACTCTTCCACAGCACTGAGATAGGCAGTGATGGCAACACCTCCCCAGGCTGTCAGGGCTGCTGCTGTATTCACAGCTGCAGGATATTCCCAGAGCAAGCCAGCTATTTTCTCTTGTATGATAATTGTTTTCCAGGTTCTGTTATGGGACTCTCAACAGAACGACGGCATGTGTGCACCCTGTTGCAGGACTGATCTTTATCTGAGGGGGCAGGAAGGTTTCAGCCAGCTCTGCTCCATACCACAGGGCTTGCAAGGCATCTCCTTGATAAATGAGGTGATATTTTTTGAAGTTGAAGCCCTGAGGCAGGGTTTGGTGAGGTCAAGGTGCCAAGGACACGTAGGTTGTACTCCAAGGCAATTCCTGTTGTGTGGAGGTAACCTGCCAGCTCTGTTTTGTGCACCTTCCAAGGTGAGCCAAGAGAGTTGTGTCCATCTCAGAGGGTTTCCTGAAGGCTGACTGTGCTTACTCAAATTCCTGATGTCACTAAGGTAGAGAACAGCTCTAAGGCTTTAAGCAAGAATAAAGCAAATTTATGATTATTCTGAAATCCCTTAAGGAGGAGGAGATGAGGGTTAGGAACAGCAATTAAAGTAGATTTGCAGTTTCATTTAATACGACTGGGCTGGAGAAAAGCTGGCAGAAGAACATTGCTGAAACCTTTTAAACCAAAAGGGTCCAAGCTTGATGGGAAAAATCTTTGAGCCTTCCAGGAATAACTCATATGCTAATGAAGAGGCTATATTTTGTTTCTTTCCAGTGACATCTATGGGTGAATCAAGAAGTGATTCACATCAAGTGCTGTGTGTTGCATAGACTGTGTGTTGGGCTCTCAAAATGTTTCTGAAGAGACAAAGGATGTAGAAGACAAGGAGGAAGAGGAGCAGCCTTGGTAATTCTACAAAGAATGCTAAAGTCAGCTGAAGTTAAGGAGGTTTCTGAGCTCCCATGGTCTGCCTTGTCTATATTTACAAATATTCTTGCTACAAACCAAACCATTTCAAATGCTATGAATCTTCTTGTTTTCTGTAATTGGAAAACTTTGACTGTTTCTCAGCTTCATGTTTTGGAAGATCCTCAGGCAAGAGGATTCTCATCCTCTATAAATCATAAACTGTTGGTAAATACACACTTATCTCATTGCTTCTGTGGCTCTCTTAATCATTATCCTCTTCCCAAAGGAAGAGAATTATCCCATCTGGCAGCCAATGGCATCGAGACAAGCAGGACATTTTCAGGAAGGTAGTTTGTCTGTGGTATGAATCAGGTTCTCTCCATTGCCAGGTCCCTAAATGTACATATTTTCAGAAAGGGTGATGGTGGCATGGGTTGTGATGGCTATCAAGGAAATCAGTTTTCCATTTGGTGTCAGAGAATCTGTCCCAGCATAAAGTGATAAAATCATTTGTGTTGAAAGGACTTTTAAAGCTCATTTAGCCCAACCCCACTGCAATGAGTGGGGACACCTCCAACCAGATGAACATTTTCAGGGATGGAAGCATATTACTGGTATTTCTTGCCAAAGAAACCTGTAACACAAAGCTGCCTGTGAATAAAAGAAATCAGAATATTCTTGCAGTGTGGCCCTTCTGCTTCTAGGAACATGACAGCAACTTTGTAAAAAGGGTTTGAGTGGCACAGAACTTAAACAGCTTTTTAAAAATCCACCTCAATTTAAAATTAAAAGATTATCCAATATTGCATAAGCTTGAAAAAGTTGGACAGATATGAATTTAGTAAAGTGGTTCCCATGACAGTAGGAAATATGTAGCAGAGAAGGGACTGTCAGAGTTGTCAGAGGATGGTGGTGCAGGAGCAGATTCCTGGGCAGCTCCTGACTCCACAGCAGGACACCCTCCACTTGGAGAGGTTTGTGTAGCACAGCCTGGCTGGGACCCTCTGCAGTAGGGCTTCTTGCTGGGTTTCATCTCTGGAGCCCTCTAGCCCAAAAAGTTTCAGCCTCTGCATTTTCTACAAGAACGTGGGGGCATTTGGGGAGTTACTGGGTATAGTACAATTGTGTGGCCTCACTCATGCTGAAACGTGAATTGTTCTATGAGTAATGAAATCCCTTAAATTCCTGTAAATAAAAGATGGGAACAGATTTGCTGGTGGAAAATGTCCCAGCTCAGCAGTTTCCCTCAGCCCCAGACAACTGCCATTTGCTGGCATCGCTCTCATAGATTTGTAAATATTGCAGAACACGAGGAGTTTAAATTTTCATGCTTTAATGTGAGGCTGTGGCTGTACTACGGTGGGGGATTGGGTTGGGAGCTTGCACAGCAACCTGGGTGATTGATAAAAACAGGGATAAAAATAGGGATATCAGGAGGGATCAGGTAGGAGGCTTCCTGGGGTGTCATTTGAGTTCATCATCTGTGTGGTGATGGAAATGTCCCTCCCAGGTAGAGACAGAGCTTCTTGACTAAAACATGGGAGTGAAAATTCCTGTTTGAGCAATGAGAGAATGTGGTGGTGGTTTAAGCTTTTCTCTCTCTCCCACCCTGCCCCCCCCAAAAAAAAACCCAAAACCCAGGCTAATATTTGTTTTTCTTTCCTTGTTTTATATGATTTCTTGCTGTTAGGAAACACTTTGGTTACAAATCTCAGACCCAGCAGAGAAATACCCTTTCTGTGTTCTGGCTAACCCCCTCTCAGGAATGGAGTAGTAATCCCTCAGATAGTTCAGGTGGTGTTTTCCTGTATTAAATGAGTTTAAAGCTGCCCATTGCAGGTTGTGCTGGACTGGCCAGTTCCAAGCCCATCCACATGCATTCATTTAAGCAACTTATAAAAATCCCCAGGCTTGTAAGAGAAGCCCTAGATATTTCATAGCTTGCTGGGATGGTATAAGCCCTTACAGTTTGAAGTAAGGGTGCTTGCTTGATGAGAACATTTGCTGTAGTCAGAATATTATAGCAGCTGTGAGCAC